GTGCCTCCAAATATGGTATCCACCTCGTGGATAGGGGCTTCATCCTGGGCTTGTCGGTTTCTTTGGTGTCTGCGCCCTTCTCTGGGCCTCTCTTTATCACGCTCTCTTCGTCGTGGGGAGCATCCCTTTGACAGGTAGTAGCCTCCTCATGCCCACATCAGTTGTCGTGCTTGGGCGGGGGCCTGTTCGCCTGGGACGATTCATTTCTATCCCTAGGGGGTTTCAACCGGGAGCAGTGTGCATAGTCTCGACAATCCGCTGTGTCGTGTCCATAGGACCGATGGTGTACACAGTATCCCGATGGGTTCTGATTTGACCTATTTCTAGGTCCCGAACCCCGGCCTCGGCTTCTCCCCCTACGGGATCCTTGTGGGGTTTCTATCTGCTGGATGTCAGTAATTGGGTTGATATCCTCATATGCCAAGGTAGGGACCACGTTCAAAGTGGTGGTGACAAGTGCTTGACCAGAACTCTCATTTCCAGCCTGGTTCATTTGGTGGTCCATCAGGTGGGAGGTCGGTCCTCTAGCACGCTACCTTTGAGGAGGTAGGAGGCATCTACTTGCCCTGTTCCTATGCTCAATCAATTCTTCATTGATGATTTCTCGCCTCATCATCTCGAGTAGGGCATCATAGATGGTGGGATCTTGATTTTGCACATCCCTCAAGAATAGGGTATTCATGGTCAGACCTCCCCTTAATGTGGATAGTGCCTCACGGTCGGTGACTTGCACGCAATACGTCATCTCTTCGGTGAAGTGTGATATGAAGCTCTTTAGGGACTCCCCATGTGCTTGTCTCATTCTTGGAGACGTTGGATGGGGGCCTCTCCTTCTTTGCTTACCGCGAACCTCTTCAAGAATGTTGTCTTGAACTCGAGCCAGCTTCTTATGCTCCCAGGCAATAACCTACTATACTAAATTTCAACCGCTCCACTAAGTGTTAAGTGGAAAGCTCTGTACTTCACAAATGAGATGGCACCCCTTAGGCTCATGTGAGTTTTATAAGCATTCAGGTGCTTCTCTGGGTCGCCTCTTCCGTCATACTTTGGTATCTTTGGCATTACATAGTAGCTTGGAACCTGGGCACTCCTTAGTTCCCTTGAAAACGGAAAATTCTCATCGTCATTGTCCAAGTCACAGGACCTCTGCTGCTCATCTGAATCGTATTCATCGGCCTCATGTCGTGGTTGTTGGTGAGAGGTTCCGCGATGGTTCCTAGCCTTTTCCTCTCTCCTCTGGTGCCTATTTCTAGGCGGAGCAAAACGGGAGGCATTCTCATGCCTTTCTTCCAGCTGCTGGGGCATTGGAGGTGGAGGCGGTGGCCTTATCTAAGGCTGGTGAGTCTGCTATTGCCTAAGCCTCGGTTCAGCGGGGCTAATTCTGTCAAATACACTGCCTGCCCTCCTATGTCTTGACTTTTGCTCATACGGAGGTGAGAAGTTATCATGGTTCAATGGGACCTCGATGGGTCAGCCAGAAGCGTAGTTGGAGGAAACATCAACTTCCACTTCCCTTTCAAATGGGCTTCCACCTCGGCTATAGTCCGGCGAGGCAGCTCTATGACTTTGAATTTCATCTTCTTGTTAGTAGTGCCCTTGAGGGGCATATGGAGGAATGGGGAAGCCTCTCTGGCCTTGCATTTGGGCCATGAGCTCCCTCATAGCCAAGTTTTGGCTAGCAATATCCCATATGTTAGCCACCATGACAGCCATTTCTCTTGACAGCCCTGCCGTCGCCTGTATTCCACCTCTTTTTTGGTTGTGGTGGATCTTTGCCGAGCTGCTGGGGCAGCGGGTGGAGGAGGCACATTTGCATTTTCTCTTACCCTCTTGGGGGGTGTGTCTTCGTTTGAACTCATTTTCTTTTCGTCTGACTCTTCAAATTTTGCTAAGTTGTGGGGCTTCATCTTGTTCTTTTTCAAGGGGGATGCCCAAATGCTCTTCAATAAGCTTTCTCCACAAGGTTGTTCGTGGTTATGGTATGGTTTCTCACAGACGGCGTCAATCTGTTGACCCCAAAAAATATTGCCAATAGATGTCGGGCCCACCCGCGCACACGTGAGCGAAGGTCCTACACGCTAAGACATGTGGACGGTGTAAGACGAATGGATTAGAGGCGTGGGAGTAGCTCAACGACGCGGGATGAGAACGTTCGGAACTCGACGGGATGTTGTTAATCCGATTGTACAATAATAATCAATCGGTGCTCATAAATGTGCATGTAAATATGTGTGAACTCGTGTTGTATTGTAAGATAATATGAAAGAGAGAGTAAAGTGTGGTTTCTTGTATTGATTATTACATTAGCCCTTTAATCTTGCACAAGAGAAGTATTTATAGTGGTACATGTGAAATGACAGCCCTTGGATGAGGTGGCACGTGGCCTCATCTCTTTAATCCAAACATCCAATTCTAGGCATCATCCTTGACTTGCTGCAGAACCCCCATGCTAATGACAAGACTTGACATGTACACTTATAACAAACGTTCAATCAATCATTTTAACAAGATCTTTATATAGAAGATCTCTTGGGAGAAGTGATCATGGAAGACGCTCCTTCACGGTTCGAAGGCTTCTGCTTTGGCTTCGGATTCAGGGCTTCTGCCACTCATGAAGTACTTCCGCTTTAAGGCTTCGACTATCTTCACAAGCCTTGATATATGGGCCTTGACATATGGACTTTGGCTAGTTTCACAGGCCTAGGTATATGGGCCTCGACACGAAGGGCCTCGGCCATACATTCCACCTCGGCTATGCCACGTGGTTCGGATTAAATGGGTCATAGATCCAAATAGATTGACCAAGTATGACAACACGTAACAGTTGCTAGTTCGTATCTTTTGAAAGTGTGCTCACTATAACATGACACGATATTGGGGATGGGTGAGGGATGTTTTTTCTAGTTGTGCAAAAGTTTTCACGTATCTGATCCATTGATCTCCTAGGTTGTGGATAACTGGAAAATGCAGGATATTCAATGATTGATCCCTTTCTCGATGTAATGCTGTAAAACATTATTTCGATTTTCTTCTCCTCTTTGTAAGTGTATAAAGGTAAACTAACATCATTTTAAGGTAGTTAAGGAAGTCATGATGTATGCAAAATATTAGACACACAACTATGAGTTTGTTGAGAAGGAAGTTTGTTGTTGTGTTATATTTGTAGGATACTGAATACACAACTATTCTACCACACATTTTATAATCTTTTATCAAATTTACTAAAGATTCAAATTTAATCTACAAATAGGGGCTTAAAAGAGTTTTGTATATTACTGCACTCTTTGGTTAAATGAGTCAAGATATCATCAATGAATTGCTTTTGCTAACATAATAATGTTCTTTAATTTTGTGGGGGTGTAAGAGGATGAAGAAATGAAAAATGCTATTTGTACATCGGGATTGACACTCGAGGGCCCACGTCCAATAAAAAAATCGTGAGCCCTCTTTCATGTGAGGAGAGTGTATATCGGATTGTCAACTTTGATGTACGTGTAGTAAAACTCTAAAGAAATAGATCGTGACTAGTTGCCTTTGTGATAGCACTAGTGTCATAATTTGCTCGAGGAATTCCCAAGTTTTATTCTGCTGCTACTCGCCTACTTGACAAAATCCCAAATGATACTTGTAATTTTATTGTTGTTACAAGTACTTTTACCCAAAGGGCATGCCATCTTTGTGGATTCAGTGGATCATACTGCATTTTTAGATATGAGAATTGGATTATGCCTTAATTCCAATTTAAAGGAGTGACATTCATTGAGCAAGTCGTACAATTTAGCGATCGTTTGGCACAGGTAATTCAAAAACAATTTTCAAACTCATTTAATATTCACATTTTCCCTCTAAAATAATTTTACACGTAAATCAATAACTTCTTTCAATTTTTCAATTACATATTTTTCGAAAATAATAAATAAATCAGTTTTCACTTCAAATAGTTTCTCTTAGGTGTACTGAATTTCATTTTGCTGTCCATGAAACTTCTGCCAATAAGTAATTTACATGCCTAGTTATAAATAAAGTATTTATAAGTAATAGTTGTTTGTCTAAGCTTAAAAAGTATACTTTAAGTAAAATAATAATAAGTATTATTTTTTAATTGATGAAAGCTAGAAACAAGTTATTATTCTGATTGACAATCATGTTTGGCTAAATTTATAAGTTTAGCAAAGTATAAATAATATATATATTTTTTGTTAAGAATTGGAAATAAGAACTCAAGCTCACTAGCCAATAAGATTGTAAATTTTTACTTACGAGTGAAATTAATCATATTTAAATAAGTTTTATTAACAAAATTGAAAATAAGGAATATTTTTTTACTACTAACCCCCTGCTTGGGTTTTATTATTGGGGAAGATGTATTTTAGAAAGTGATTTATTATTATTATTATTATTTTTAGAGGGTGTTTGAGAGCCATTTTTATGTAAAAAAAAATGTATTTTTGAATAGTAAATTGATGGAAAATGTGTGGTTGAAAAATAAGGAAAAGTTTTTGATTTATGTGTAATATTATTTTAATTTGATTGAAAAGAAAAGAGAGAAAAATATATTTAAAAAAAATGAGTACCAAACGGGACCTTAATGTGTGGTTAAAGAAATAATGAAAAGTTTTGAATTTATGTGCAACATTATAAATTATTAGAAACTATGTCGTTGAAAAGATTGAGAGAAAAAAAAATGCATTTTTTTTCAAATTGGAGTCCAAACGAGGCTTTTAAAAGGATCTTGTTACATGTACATTAAAATTTATATATGGAATTATATAATGTTCACATGTCACTTCACTATTTATCAATTTAAAATACAATCAACTTTTTTACACATTATTTTTCCTTTACATTACTTTTGGTAACCACATGTGTATCATTTTTATGAATAAGTGGCAAAATCCCTTTTAAAAATAAGTTGACAACTTTTCAGGTTAGCCAAACCAGACAGACAAAGGGAAACGAAAATCGGCCACAAAATTATTTTGGGTGGATTTTCATAGTCGATGGCCAAGAGGAAATGCCAGAAGCCGCAGACGCAAAAACCGATGTCGGCTGCGCTGCCACTCCCACATCAAAGACCATGGCTTCCCAATACCATCTCCACCACCAGACCGCCACTGCCGCAAAGAAGTGTTTCCTTCGCCGTTAAGAGCCTCAAATCCGACCATCAAGATAAAGAATCCGCCCAATATATTGGTGGTGCCAGTGCACTCAAATCCAATAAACCACTGCGAATGCGAAACACCTTCAACAAGTCTAGAAATCAACAAAATCCAGAGTCAAAAGACGAACAAAAGAGACAGCTGAGCGGCGCTGATGTATTATGGGCACTACAAAGAGCCACTGCCCACAAATCCAAGAAAAAGAAAGACAAAAGGGACACTATATCTGGAGATGGAAAATTTGTTGAACGAGAAATCCAAGGGGCTGTAGACTACACTAGTGTTAGACCCTTATGCATCAAAACTGAATGGATTGCCCGATTGGAGGAATTGGAGAGGCAACTTCAGGAGCTTATAGATACTTAGGATTGTCTTAATTGTTATCAGAGGTAACAATGTTCTTTATCTCTGCGAAGTACTGGAGGATGAAGAAACAGAAGAAGACGAAGATTGTGATTTGGCGCCTTTTGGTGGTATTACTATTACAGTCTGCTGAATGAATTCTTATCTTCTGTTCATATATACATCTTATTTCACATACCATCCTTGTGAGGTATAAAGTCATACCCTGTGATTAAGTTTATGGCATACTGCTTTATTGTGATTATTGGATTGTTTTAATTTGAGACTATGACACAGTGATATATTTTGACCAATCTGTTAAATTTTATTCAACACACTTCTTATTTTTTACTGGTTTAATTTCAGTTCTTAGATAATTTTCATTTTTAATATATTTCGATGTGAAAAGACATACCCTGTTGCCTTTGTATTCAGCATGAGTTTGGTTTCTAGATGCTTTTGCCATTGTAATAGTTGCTCTCTTATGTTAATTGACATGGAATTTCTCACACATACTCATTCTTTCACGTTTTTATTTGACGTGGTGTTTCTATAGATTGTTACCAATTATGTCTCGTTTATAAGGTTACACGTAGATTTAGTTGTCAAAATTCGTTCCATCAATATAGCAACCTTGGAAGCAATGGCATTGTTTTGGATTGGTCAATTAATTAACGCGATAGAGTTTAGGAGTACTTTATGTTGTTGTAACATCTTGCGAGCATATTAGGGCCATACAACATCTTTTAAGATGTTTTATTTGCCTAATGCTCTCTGTTTCCCTTTATTGTTAGTTTTTTTATTGCACTAGTTCATGCAGTATTAACTTAATGACTTGGTCGAACTATTTGCAATTATGTTACTTCTTATTTAAATGAGAGTGGCATTCGTTGAAAGTTAAATTTGTACACAGTCCTTGTTCTGTTGGAATGTCATGCAGCTGGTGATGCTCTCTGTCTATTATGAATGCGTTTGAGCACGCATCATAATTTAACATTTTTGTAGAATCAGAAGAAGTTAGATTTTGTAGATTTAAAAACCGTGTTGCATGGTTGGATTGGAGAAGTTCTGTTAGTCTTTTTTTGTCAAATGTGATCGAAAACAAGATTTGAAGGATAGTCGGGCGAAATCCTATGCTCAGACTTGCATTTTACTGTTGTGGTTCTTTTCTCGCTTCCTCTTTCCTCTTTTTCTTGTGGTGTGCATTTTTCTGTTGTGGTTCATTTCTCCCTCTCTTTCCCCTTTTTCTTGTGGTGTTGGGGAGGGGGGCTTGCCTTATCTTTGAGATATTGATTACATCGAAGGTTCTAACTTCTAATACTCGTGCTAAAAACCTTATTTCTAAAAGGAATGCAAATTTTATACATCATGTAGGATCTATTCTGCAAATCATTGCTTAGAAAATGTTTAAGTTCATGTGAGAGTTGGTATAAGCAATAGAGAGGAAGATTAATTTTCTTCCCCCTCCTCTTCTTCCATTATATAGTAAAACGAGATTACACATATATGGAAACTCGGTAAATATCGAAATACAATAACATCTAGTTATACTGTTACCTAATTTACTTGATTTACTTCCTTAACACTCTTCCTCAAGTTGGAGTATATATATCATATAAGCCCAACTTGGAACGAAGAAAGTTTAACCGATTACCATTCAACGACTTTGTAAATACATCAGCAAGCTGGTCTCCCATTTTCGCAAATGGTGTACATATATCACCACTCACTATTTTGTTCTGGACAAAGTGACAAACAACTTCAATATGTTTAGTTCTTTCATGAAATACAGGATTGGACGCAATATGTAAAGCAGCCTGATTATCACAAAACATTGGAATAGGAGTGGAAGGTGAAAAATTGATTGCTTGAAGAAATTGCTGCAACAATGTCACCTCACTAGCATTATGAGCCATCTCCCTATATTCTGCTTCTGCGCTTGACCTTGCTACTACAGTTTGTTTCTTACTTTTCCAAAAGACAAGATTACCACCGAGAAAAGTATAGAAATCGGTAGTGGATCGCCTATCTGACGGGGATACTGCCCAATCTGCATCTGTAAACCCTTCTATTCTGATATGTCCATTTGACTTGTACAATAATTCAATACCTAAAGCCTTTTTCAAGTATCGAATAATACAAATCACAGCTTTCCAATGAGAAACTCGGGAAGCATCCAAGAACTGACTAATGACACTCACTGCATAGGAAATATCTGGTCGTATGATAATAAGATAATTTAATTTTCCAACTAAACGACGATACTTTCCTGGTTCTTCATACAATTTATCTTCATCCTTCAAAAGCCTCACATTAGTATCCATAGGAGCATCAAAGGGATGAGTTCCTAGACAACATGTTTCATCTAAGAGATCAAGCACGTATTTTCTTTGAGACAAATTGATGTCTGCTCGTGACCTAGCGACTTCAATACCCAAAAAGTATCGGAGCTTGCCCAAATCTTTGGTCTGAAATTGTTTTTGTAAAAGCTGCTTCAACCGAGCAATCCCATCTACATCATCACCAGTGATTACAATATCATCTACATAAACTACAAGGATAACATAAAATGCACCAGTTTGTAGATGAAATACTGAATGATCTGTCTGACACCTCTGAAGACCAAATTCTAAAACAACCTCATAAAACTTCCCAAACCATGCCCTTGGTGATTGTTTTAACCCATATAAAGCATTTTTCAACTTACAAACATATTTTTTGTACTCTCCCTGAGCAACAAACCCAGGTGGTTGCTCCATATAAACCTCTTCATGCAAGTCACCATGAAAAAATGCATTTTTAATATCCAGTTGAAATAGAGGCCAACCAAGGTTAGCGACAATAGAAATCAAAACTTGAATAGAAGACATCTTAACAACTGGAGAGAATATTTCATCATAATCAATTCCATAGGTTTGTGTGTAACTTTTAGCAACCAATCGGGCTTTCAATTAATCAACAGTTCCATCGGGATTGAATTTTGGAACAAAGACCCATTTGTTACCAACAGGACGTATGCTAGTTGGCAGCGGAACGAGTTCCCAAGTCTGATTCTCGTGCAAGGCTGCCACTTCAGATTCCATATCCCTTCACCACTTAGGTTCAGATAAAGCCCCTGTCAATGTCTTAGGTACAAAAACACTAGAAAGTTGGGATGTGAAACAAGAAAAAGAAGGGAATTAAAAGTAACATAGTGGCTTATAGGATGTTTAGTTACACATGTACATTTACCTTTACAGAGAGCGATAGGCAATGACTCAGGATCAGAAGGAATGATGGATGCAGGATCTGTAGACGGTAAGGTGATGGATGGGGCACAGATGTTAGTGGCTTAAGTCGTCGAGTATAAACTTGTAAAGGAGGTGGTGGTTCCTTATGAGAGGAGGACAAATCTTGCGCAGTAGATATAGTTGAGTCTAGTTCTGGAGAAGTACCGACAGGTAGATATGGTACGGGTAAATTAACGGGGACTTGAATGGATTCGGAAGAAGTACCATGATTAGAAAAATAATGTGTGAACTCGTCAAAAGTGACATCTGCACTTACAAAATAACATTGTAGAGAATGATTGTAGCATCGATACCTCTTTTGTCTTTGGGAATAACCAAGAAAAATACATTTTAGAGAGCGAGAGTTGAGTTTGTCACGACCAGGTCCAAAGTGATGAATATAATAAGCACATCCAAAAACTTTGAAAGGTAATGAATACTGTGAAGAAAAACGAGACACGAGGGAGAAGGAAAATGCACCGTCCAAAAAAAGGGAAGGCATGCGATTAATGAGATAGCATGTAGTAAGGATAGTATCACTCCAAAAACGTTTAGGGACATGCATATGACAAAGAAAAGCATGAGCAACTTCTAATAAATGTTGATTTTTTCGTTCAGCAACTCCATTTTACTGTGGAGTATACGCACAAGATGTTTGGTGAATAATGCCTTTGGAAGATAGATATGATGTAAAAGATGTAGACATATATTCTTTAGCATTATCAGACCGCAAAATACAAATCTTCTGGCTAAATTGAGTTTTAATCATAGTGCAGTAAACTTGAAAGATAGATAGTAACTCAAAATGTTTTTTCATTAGAAATAACCTAGTCATACGAGAATAATCATCCACAAATGTAACAAAACATTGAAATTTATTAGAAGAAACATTAATTGGTCCCCATATATCAGAATGGACGATCTTAAATCAACTAGAAATGCGACTAACTGTTCGTAAAGGAAAAGACACACGATGGTGTTTACTAAGCTAACAAGCTTCACAGTAAAGATACGAAGACTCACAACTTGACGTTTTAAAGTAGGAAGAGAATGGTGACCAAAACGGCAATGCCACTGCATGGGTGAAACAAAAGATTGGAGAACTCGAGAAGGAGAGACTGGAGAAAAATTCAGGTAATATAATCCACCAACTTCATGCCCCAAACCAATCATCCTCTTCGTCTTGAGATCCTGAAAAATACATAAAGAATGATAAAATGCTATAAAACATTGAAGAGATGCGATAATTTTACTAATCGATAATAAACTAAAGGGAAAGTCAGGAACATGAAGGACATACGACAAATCAATATTAGGACTAAGAGAGGCATTGCCTAAGCCTGCAAAACTAGTTTGGGAACCATTAGCAAGGGTAACAAAATGGTTCGGTTTCGATTTCAATTTTCAGAAATCGCATAAAACCAAACTGTTTTAAAAAATTTTTAATTAAAAACTAATTTTGTTAAATTATATATTTTACAGTTTTAACTTTACAGGAAAAAAGTGAAAATTATACTACATACTAACTTTTATTTTTTAGGCTTAACTATTCTATTCGTGATGTGGTTCTTATATTCATTATTAATTGAGCCATACCAATTTAGGAATGAGTTAAAATTTATTCATTTTCTGCATAGTTTTAGTGCTATGGCATTCGTCTTAGTAAAGACAGCATCCTCTCCACTATTGCGTTTTCACTTGTCTCATCTGCTTACTGTATTATATTTACAGTCATTTTTCCAGTTTAGTCAAAATTCTTTTTCCATTTCAACGTGGCTAAAGTGCATTGATTTTATTGTTTCTAGTTTTTTACAATTTATTATGCTCCAAGGAATAATCAAACATCGCACTAATGCAATTAAAAGTTACAGACATTTGTAGAAATACCTTTTTGGATGGCTCCAAAAGTAATCTAAACTCTGAAAAATACAATGATTTGGATTTTCAATTTTAAAATTAAAGAAACCAAATTCATATGCATGAAATCTGTTCAAATTAGATATCGTGTTATTGTCTTTTATTTATGTTTCCTCATTCTGAATTTTTAATGAAGAATGAGTGCACAAAGTAATGTGGCTAATTATTATTATGAAATATATTACATATAATCTGCCGACACAAAATTCCTCGTGTTTTCATCTCACATGCTGTTCGTAACGCCCGTAACACTTCAAACACTATTTTCTTCACACACACACACACACACATATATATATATATATATATATGCATTCTGTTATCATATTCAAATGAATTATGCATAAGTTCACCTTTAATTTTATTTTTATGATGTTTGTCATGTCAATTAAATTGCATGATTACCAAACTGTAGAATGTATGCATTTGGACTTACCACATCATCATCACAATGTAAGGTTATTGTTTCATATCATGTCTCGTTATGCCAAGCGCGACAATATATAAATGTAATTTAATATTTAATATTATTAGTTATCATTTAAACCTATATGTTAACTTGCTTTAAATATATAAACCGCTAATTAAAATTGAATCAAATCGCAAATAATGATATGATTTGGTTTTTTCAAATTGTTTGATTTGGTTAAGAAAAATTCTAAACCATTTGAAATTGTTTGAGTTGAAAATATGGTACAAACCATCCAAACTGAACCATGTTCACCCCTACAATCCACCATATTAGAAGTCACGAATAAATATGCATGAAAAACGGGTGTCAACACCACTGATATAATGAACTCATACAGAAGGCTAGAATAGAAGTAAATTGAAAACACAGACCATATGTGTTCATGCTTCCCAAGTTAGAAACCGTATCTCAATTTCCAGCATAAATCTACAACACTACTTAGCTCATGGATTAAACGCAGTTGATGGCCTAATCCAAGACCCAAAAACTAATTATTCTAGCGACTGCTTCAACATAATTCAGAATAAACAACGCTGCAGCATGTCTATTTGTAGTTCAAGGAGACCTTGTCGACAAGTTCACCAAGAAACTTTTCACCGGGCTACTGTCTTTAGACTGGTCGAGATTCGCTCCCATCTATGGAACTTCACCCTGCACAGATATAGCTCCCAATTTTGAAGCTCATGTAGAGAATAAGAACCCATAAGAAAATGAAATCGAACCAACCCCTAGAAGTTGCAGAAACAGTCTTCCCTGAAAGTATGCTAACCCGTGATTCCAAGTTAGCAGAACCATTGTCACCTCGTGATAAGCCAAATGAAAGAACAATATTGAAGTTCAGGTTCTTGCTAAAAGATTGGTATGTGCCATTGCCATCGACTGTCAAATTTCTTATTTGAATCATGCCAGCCGTAACATGTGCTGAACTGGAAGCAGAATTTAGAGGAAGAGTTGCATTTTTTGAAGGAAACTCTGATGCAAATGCTGGAGGAGCTGGGAAGCTGCCCAACATGCGACTTGCCTGCTTGATGAAAGGATACTGAAAATCTGCACCCATTAAAAGGTATACCCAAATTAGATCCTGGAAAAAAAAAATGCGTTATAATTGTTAACAGTGCATGTGGAGGCAAAATGCTTGAGATGCATGTTTGGGACATGATAGTGGACAAAATGCACAACATTTTAACTTATTTTCCTTCTTCGTATTATCCAGCCAGCCCTACCAAATGAGTGAAAACGTGCCAGAAAGCAAGAAGTTGCATAGTAATTTTCCTTTCAGTACCTGACTGACATTTTGCCTGCTCTTTCTTAGATGACGATGACGATGCCGCACCATTACTCGTATTATCAATGAGTTGTTCGCTTGACACAGTAGCTTGCTGAGTTCCTTCATCAACGTTCTGGCAAAGAATAATAACATAAGCTTAAGTACTAAATTGCAACTTGAATCTGTAAAAGGCAGTGAAGCTCAAAGAATAATGTTACCTTTTGAGCATCATTACTCATATTATCAATGAGTTGTTCACTTGACACAGTAGCTTGCTGAGTTCCTTCATCAACGTTCTGGCAAAGAATAATAACATAAGCTTGAGTACTAAATTGCAACTTGAATCTGTAAAAGACAGTGAAGCTCAAAGAATAATGTTACCTTTTGAGCGAGGAAAACTTGATCAGATATAAGATCCTCACTTTCCATCATCTTTGAAACATCATAAGAGAGATACTGTGAGTTGTCATCATTGGCATCGAAGAATGTAAGGTACTCCAGCACATCAAAATTAGATGTATCAACTGCACCAGGATTTGAGAGATCATTAGTTTCATCGAATCCTCCATCACCATATTGAACGTTATCAGAAGCATCCAGGAACGGTTCATCAAGTAAGTAATCCACTTCCTTGAAATTCCTAGGGTTGCTTGATTCAACCATGTATTCACGCCTGACAGGTTTTACAACAGTATCATATGAAGAAGCTGGCAAATCATACAGATTCTGGTCATCACGCTTTTCAAGCTCACTTTCATGTTCACCAATGTCCAATATGCGCTGTTGGGCTCCACTAATGGACGCACTGGTTTCTTTGTCATTGCTGGCATTGTCTGCAGAGTAGGTGTTCAATGGAATGGGAGTATTGTCTGACGGCATGTCGTTTCCAAGAATCTAGCAAAGAGAACATTTTACCACAAGAAGGTCACTAAATAAGTAATGCTGTGGACCAAAACAATAAGTACTCTTCACAATTTCCACACTGATCCCTTCTTAGACCCAAACATTGTTAAATTAGCGTACAACACAATATAATGGTAAGAGCAGAAACCTGCTCAAGGTCTCGGCCGTCCAAATAGAAATCATCACCAAAATCTACTTCTTCGGCAGCCTCCTGTTTGGCAACCAATTCCAGCTCATCATCCTCCCAATCCTCCTCAATAAATGAAGCCCCATACTGTTCACCATTCTTTGGTCCCGAACCACTCTTCTGAAAGACTCGGCAAAGCACAATAGCATCCTTCTCCACCAACAAATACACCAATAATAAACAAAATTAGATTGAGATGTGAAACTTATAATCCTTCAAAATAAGTTTTTGGTTAACAATAATGATTATAATAATATTTCTTGCCATAACACTAATACTAATAAACTCCATAAAACAACTATATATATATATATAGTAGAGATGGAAATAGATAAATATTATAAGATGAAGATGATTTTATTGATATATGAAAATTTGAAGTACAAATATTGAAATGAACTTTGAATTACACGATTGAAAATAAATATTGAAAAAGATAGTAAAAGAATACAAGGATTTCTTAAACTATCTTGAGAATGATTTATCTCTCGCTAAATTCACTCTTCTAAGATCTTGAGCATTTGATCTTCTTTTATACTTGAAATCTTGAGTTCCGGATTTGAAAATTTCTTCAATTTGAAAAAGGAATTTTGAATAATTGCAACTTTTGAAACTTTTGCACCGGCCATTTGCAAAAGTTATTCCACCATATAAAAAGTCTTCAAAGAGACTTTCATTATTTTTGTCACCTTCTTGAATAATCTTCAACTTTGAAATAATGGCATCAACTTTAATAATTTATGATAATTTTGCCAATCTTTTGACTGCTTTTTGAAAATATTGTCATAAATTTATACGGATTATAGAAAAATTATCCTTCAATTATATTGTTGAGATTAAATAATTCTTCATCATCATAATCATAATTTTCATTGTAGTTTCCATCATCATTGTTTGAAAGATCTTGAAAAATGCTTTGATCAATCAGACAATCAAAGCACATTTGAGACATAAATAACTCATTATCAAAAATCTTTTGAATTAGAGGAACTTGAGTTTGAATCCATTTTCCTTCGTCGGTAAAAATCGAATAATATTCATCATTAAACATTAACTGCAGTTTTGAACAGTCAATAATTGATCCAAACTTTTTCTTAACAGCAAGGATAGAATTTGATCTAATTTTTGTAAGAATTTCTCTTACATGATTTTTTAGTATGATTTCTTTGTCATCAAAACCATAAACTTTTGAAGAGATATTTGAATCTGGCATTGGAAGATTATTTGAAAGAGTACTCCAAATACTAACAATTTGTTTGGTTGAAAAATACTCTTTAGTAAAAAGAGTATTATTGAATTTGACTTCTTCAGCAATCCATTCAAGAAGAATGGTTGAAAATTCAATTTTGAGGATCTTGACTTTGAATTTAAAAAGATGATTAATAACTCTTTTAAAAGAGCTATGAAAATTTGAGATATCTGTTTTTAAATCGATATAAATTGAGGAATTGAATTTTATTGATAACATTTATCTATTTCCATCTCTACTCTACCCTCTTGGCCCATTTTGGTATCAGAGCCATAAGAGAGTGAGGTGAGGTGGTAGTAGTTTATCACTATAGGCACTGTTCACATAAGAAAACTTGATTTGATTCCGGGATATCTACTGAATAGACGTTGGTCAGCCCGTTGTTAGCCGGGGAAGACATGTTAGGGTGGTCCCCTTTGTAGGCTTGGTAAGAATCAGTCTATCTTATTTAGCTGTTTTTATTGTGGTAAATTGTTATAATTTCATTAAATTTAATTATGTCCTCTTTTTCAAATTGGTTTCAGAGGTCTAGAAATAGATCTGAAAATATTTCAAATGTTTTTCAAGATGAAGAAAAAATTGATCAATCATCTACATCACATGCATCAAATGATTTTAATAGTCATGAACTTCAAATTGCTCAAATTGAACAAAGATTGCATAACTGAACAATTCCAAAGGTAGAAAAGAATTATATCTATGAAATTGGAAAGTTTGATTTTACTCAAAATTATGTTATCAAAACTTTTTAACAAACATTATCTATCAAAAATCAAAATGCATACATCAATTTATTTTCAAAAGACTCAATTGAATCGCATTAAAATTTTTTTAAATATATTCATGCTGGATTAGTTCAAATTGTTGTTAAACCTTTGTTTAGACTTGGGTTAGACATTCCTATTCTCTTGACTCTTAGCGATAAGAGACATTTCAAATTTGAAAATTCATTATTATTTGTTCTAGAGTCAAATCTAGAAAGTGGTCCAATTTATTCAAATTGTTATCCAAAATTTTCAATCGATCTCAATAATGGAGCTATTCTTAATACTCTTAATCTCAATATTCAAACCAAAAATCTTGATTTTGATAATCGTTTAGATGCTTTTGCTGTAATATACAGAATATATTTCAAGTTTATGAATACTCAACTCAATATTGGTGTTTTACGTTCATCCCTTAAAGATGAAAGTTTTTTGGTTAAATGTAATCCTTTTCATTCAAACACTATGATTCCCAAGAGAATTCCTTGGAATTCAAACTCGTAGACTAGAATGAAATTTTGAAAATGTTCAAAATCCTATTTAAAATTTTGAAAATGTTCAAAATCCTATTCCTGCTCTTGTTCAAGCTATTCCAAATCAAATTCTTACTTTTCCTGATGGAAACGTCAAAATAATTTTCAAATGATCTTCCTCTAGATTTCAAAGATCTTATTCTTCTAGATATGAAGAAAAACCTAGAACCTCTTATCAATTTAAAAAATTCTCAACATCTTCTCTTTCAGGTGTTGATTTTTCTCCAAATATCCAAAACCTCAATATATAGAAAAAGAAATAGAAAAAGAAGAAGAATCAGATCAACCTGAATCTCCAACTTTTTCTGATATGTTTTCTAATCAAAATGAGAGACTTGATCATCAAACAAATATTATTTCTTCTAGTATTGATAGAAGAAATGAATTCAAAACTGATCAAACCTTTGATCCAAAATTTTTTCGTCAATTTTTTTCAAAACAAGAACAAGAATCTTATTGGGATGAATTCTACGAATTTCCCGAAGATTTAAGTTTTTATGAATGGGCTTATTTCAAAATTTTCAACAAAAAACCTATTTTTTCAAAGAAAGAAAAGGTTTCTTCAAAATCAAAGAAAGAAAAGATTTCTATTCAAACATCTAATATTCAACAAAAGATTTGGAAAACTTCTTCTGGAGAGAATATTCAATCCTCTCATCCTCTTTTGCAAGAGATAGTAGTTCCGCATGGAAATACTGAAATTTTTGCATCTCCTTTCAAAAGGATATCTGAAGAACGACATGATGAACCTCAAGTTGTTAAAGATATCAAAAATATTCAAACTCAAAATAAATACACAAATATAGTTCTTCAATCTGTATGTTCTCATCTTAATAGAATTGAAATAAACTCTGAACCAGAGGCATCATCCTCTTCAAAAGGTACTAAGCTAATAGAGTCAGTTTTAATTAACAGGCATGAGGCTAAACCTAAAACACTCAAAACTGAGATTAACGTTCTCAAAGAACTTGCAACTCAGTTATCAAAAATATCATCATCCTCTACTTCAAATAATATCAATACTATTGACGATATTGAATCTCAATTTATTGATAATGAAGTTCCTCAAATCAATAAACTTCAAAATAGAAAATCTCAATCTTCAAAAGTTCCCTCTTATTATCCAAAAAATACTTCTCCGGATTTACTTTTTGAACAAAAACTCAAAATGCCGACAACATTTTTTGGTTTAAGTATAACTATCTAAAATATAGATAGTTTAACCGAATACCAAATTTTTGAAATTCTTTAAAGAATGGGTGCTTGTTATAACGCCTTTATTCAAGAAGGAATTTCTCAAGTTGAATCAACAGGCAGTATTATTCAAGGGTTTGCTGGCCAATTAAATAATTGGTAGTTCAATTATATTTCTGAACAAGAAAAAGCTCAAATTGCTCAAACTCTAAAACCTGATGGTTCAAGTGATAGTTTCAATACATTAATTTATTGTATTGTTAAACATTTCATTGGATCTCCTACAGATGTTTTAGAAAAAGTTTCAAGTATTTTATTAACTTTAAGTTGCTCAAGTTTCCAAGATTTTCGTTGGTACAAAGACGTGTTTTTAACACGTGTATTTTTACGAAAAGATTGTAATCAATCTTATTGGAAAGAAAGATTTTTATCTAGACTTCAAAAATTATTTTCAGAAAGAGTCAAAAATTCTATAAAAAATGAATATTCAAATAGTATCTCATATGATAATATATCGTATGGAGAATTGATTTATTTCATTAACAGAGAAGGATTAGCTATCTGTAATGAACTCGAGCTTAAATCTAAATTGCAAACAGAAAGATTAGATAGTCGTAAAGAACTTGGATCATTCTGTGAACAATATGGATTTAAGAAAGTTGTTCCTCCTTCAAAAACAAAAAGAAAAGATTTTTCAAAAAGAAAAGTTTATTCAAAAAAAAAATATTTTCAAAAACCTTCTTATTCAAAAAATCATTCTGGAAAAGAAATTTCAAAAGAAAAAATTATCAAGAAAGAGTAATGTTACTTGTTGGAAATCTCAAAAATCTGGGCATTATTCTAATAAGTGTCATCTCAAAAGTAAGATTAATAATCTTCAAATTGATGAAGATATTAAGCTTCAACTTCTCAATCTTATCGATTCAAATTCCAATTCTGATAATGAGTCTAACGCAGAGTTAGAACATGTTTATCAACATCAAGAAGATTCAGATGCTGAATCTAGTTCAAAGTCTCAATGCTCTTCAAGTCAAAGTAAAGAATTTTGTGGTTGTAAAACTATAAATGTTCTTACTAAAGAAGAACTTATTAAAGAGATTGTTGATCAAATTGAAGATCCACAACTCAAAAATAAGTTTAATTCCCTTCTTCCTTCATACTCAAAATCTGAACCTTTCAATATGAAAAATATTTTAAATTGTTTTGAAACTTCAAAATCTTCTAGTTCTGATTTAAAATCAGAAGACAATTCTACAAAATCAAAAATTTCTATTCTTGAACATCGAATGAAAGATGTTAGAATGGAAGTTTCTCTTCTCAAAACTCAAGATAAAAAGACTCCTTATTTATCTTCTTCCAGTTCTTTTGGTGAAGAATCAAATTCTCACATTCCTTCAAATATTCAATCTGAAGAAGAAATGATTAATGTTATTAATCATATTCAACTTCAAAAATGGTACTGCAATATGACTATTGTAGTCAACAAAGAATTCAAATTACTTCTAGAGTCCTTATTGATTCTGGAGCTTATCAAAATTGTATCCATGAAGGATTAATACCTACAAAATATTTTGAAAAAACTACTGAGCGTCTTTATGGTGCTAGTGGTTAGAAACTCAATATTCAATACAAACTTTCAAAAACTCATGTTTGTAATTCAAATATTTGTTTCAAAAATATTTTTTATCTTGTAAAAGATTTGGATCAAGAAGTAATTCTTGGTACTCCTTTTATTGTTTAAATTTATCATTTTCAAGCAAATTTAAAAGGATTAACTACAAAAATTTTAGATCAAGAAATTTGTTTTAAATTTACAAATCCTCCTCCTTATAAAGATGTCAATTCTTTAAAAGAAACATCAATTTCAAAAATTGTCAACAATATTAATTTCAAGAAAAATCATATTAGATTTCTCAAAGAAGAAATTAAATTTCAAAGAATTGAAGAACAATTGCAAAATCCTTCAATTCAAGAGAAAATTTCAAATTTTCAAAAACAAATGGAAAAAAAGATTTGTTCTACTATTCCAAATGCTTTTTGGGATCGTAAGAAACATGTGGTATCTCTTCTCTACAATTCTAATTTTCATTAATCAAATATTCCTACAAAATCTCGTCCAATTCAAATGATCAAAGAATTGTTAGACTTTTGTATCAAGGAAATCAATGATTTACTTGAAAAAAGTTTAATTCGTCCGAGCAAGTCTCCTTGGAGTTGCTCAGCATTCTAAATCAATAATTCAACTAAAATTGAACGCAGGGCTCCTCGTCTTGTTATCAATTATAAGCCTCTCAATACTACTCTTCAATGGATTCGATATCCATTTCCTCAAAAGAAAGATCTTCTAAATAGATTATTCAAAACTGTTATCTTCTCAAAATTTGATATGAAGTCAAGTTTCTGGCATATTCAAATTAAAGAAGAAGATAAGTACAAAACTGCATTCAATGTTCTTTTCGGTCAATACGAACGGAATGTTATGCCATTTGGTCTTAAAAATACTCCTTCTGAATTTCAAAAATTATGAATGATATTTTCAATTCATTTTCAAATTTTATCATTGTTTACATTGATGATATTCTTATATTTTCTGAAAGTATAGAACAGCATATCAATACATTCATGCATATTATCAAAAAAAATGGTTTGGCAGTTTCTGCTAAAAAGATTGTTTTATGTCAAACAAAGATAAAAATTTTAGGTCATAATATTCAAAATGGTTCAATTATTCCGATTCAGAGAAGTCTAGATTTTACTGAAAAAATTTCCTGATGAAATTTTAGACAAATCTTCTTCTTGGTTGCGTCAATTATGTGGGCGATTTTATCAAAAAGATAAGGTTGCTTTGTGCTCCTCTTTTCAAAAGACTACAAAAGAATCCGGACCCATGGTGTCACGAGTGCACGTTAGCAGTCCAAAAAGTCAAAAAAGCTATCAAAAATATTCCTTATTTATCAATTCTTGATCCTATTGCATCAATTATTGTACAAACCAAAGGTGCATTAAAGCATGTTCCAAATAAGTCAAATCAAATAATATTCAACTTTTTCAATTTTTTCAAACCTTTAAAAGATAAGATATATTATTTTATTATTTCAAAGCACTATTTATTTGAAGATTTTCAAACTATCTTGCAAGACTTTTCTCCTGCAAATTTTACGATTAAAATTATGAATACCAAATGTTCTGAATCTTCCTCCTTTGAAGACAAAAATATTTTAAGATTAAGACCTTTCTCAATCAAAGAATTAAATTCTTTGAGTCAAGGTAAATGCTCTCAATCAGATTCCTATTTAGGAACTGAATCAAAATTTTGTAAGTTTAAAACTCATACAAGACTTTTCAAATTTCAAAAGGATAATCTTGATGATATTCTTACTACTTTTTATCAAAAAAGTAATAAGAGTATTATAAGATGTCTCAAAAATACTACTGAAATTTTTGACAGTAGTAATAAAATTATCAAAAATTTTCAGAAAAATTCTCAAAGAAGAAATGAAAGACTTATTATTCAAAATCCTTCAAAAGAACCTTCTTCTCAAAATATTTTATTACTAAAAAGAGATATAAGAAACCTTATGAAGAAAGTCTTACAATTTCCTGATGATATTTATCAGAATATTATCAATAGAAGTCCTACTTGTGCTCAAACATTCAAACAAATCATTTTCAAAATATTTGATAACTTTTATTTCAATAGTTTTGTAACCTGTGAAAGTTATCACCCTCTTTATTTTACCCTCAAAGGTATTAAAATCATTAATGTCATTAATGATGAAATCCATCAAATGACTGAATGAGGATTCATTTCCTCAATTTATATCGATTCAAAAATAGATATCTCAAATTTTCCTAGCTCTCTTAAAAGAGTTATTAATCATCTCTTTGAATTTAAAGTCAAGACCTTCAAAATTGAATTTTCAACCATTCTTTTGTTGAAGAAGTCAAATTCAATAATACTCTTTTTACTGAAGAGTATTTTCCAGCCGAACAAATTGTTAACATTTGGAGTACCCTTTCAAATAATCTTTCAGTATTAGATTCAAATATCTCTTCAAAAGTTTATGGTTTTGAAGACAAAGAAATCATACTCAAAAATCATGTAAGAAAAATTCTTACAAAAATTAGATCAAATTCTATCATTGTTGCTAAGAAAAAGCTTGGATCAATTATTGACTATTCAGGACTACAGTTAATGTTTCATGATGAACACTATTCCATTTTTACCGACTAAGGAAAATGGATTCAAACTCAAGTTCCTCTATTTCAAAAGATTTTCGATAATGAGTTATTCATGTCTCAAATGCGCTTTGATTGTCTGATTGATCAAAGTATTTTTCAAGAACCTTCAAACAATGATGATGGAGACTACAATGAAAACTATGATTATGATGATGAAAAATTATTTAATATCAACAATATGATTGAAGGATAATTTTTCTATCATCCGTATAAATTTATGACAATATTTTCAAAAAGAAGTCAAAAGATTGGCAAAATTGGCATAAGTTGTTAAAGTTGATACCATTATTTCAAAGTTAAAGACTATTCAAGAAAGTGACGAAAACAATGAAAGTCTCTTTGAAGACTTTTTATACGGTGGAATAACTTTTGCAAATAGAGAGTGCAAAAGTTTCAAAAGTTGCAATTATTCAATATTCCTTCTACAAATTGAAGAAATTTTCAAGTCTGGAACTCAAGATTTCAAGTATAAAAGAAGATCAAATGCTCAAGATCTCAGCAGAGTGAATTTAGATGAGATAAATCATTCTCAAGATAGTTTAAGAAATCCTTGTATTCTTTTAATATCTTTTTCAATATTTATTTTCAATCGTGTAATTCAAAGTTCATCTCAATAATTGTACTTCAAATTTTCATATATCAATAAAATCATCTTCATCTTCAAACATTTATCTATTTCCATCTCTAGTCTACCCTCCTGGCCCATTTTGGTATAAGAGTCATAAGAGAGTGAGGTGAGATTGTAGTAGATTTTCTTTCTTTGATTTTGAAGAAACCTTTTCTTTCTTTGAAAAAATAGGCTTTTTGTTGAAAACTTTGAAATAAGCCTATTCATAAAAACTTAAATCTTCGAGAAATTCATAGAATTCTTCCCAATAAGATTCTTGTATGTATGTATGTGTGTATATATATCGGATTTTTAACTGACTGCCGATTTACTTATTTTATCGGTTAATCCAATTATCCAAACTTACTGCTATTTCCTAAATCCCTATACACCATATCATTCCTTGGACATTCATCATCGACACTAATCCTGTCAGTAAAAATGTGAGTTGATGAGGCAGAGGCAGAGAATAATTCAAAAGATCAAGATACACAATCATGTGCACCCACCTGATTAATTCCAGCATTCTGCAACTCCATATCAGCAAGCCGATACTCGTGCATAACCCAGTTACTCCTCAGGCCTTTTGGAGCTCGGCCTTTGTGATAAACAAGAGTTTTCTTCATCCCCACAATCTGTGACTTATGGTAGACAGTCCTATCCTTTCCAGTAGTCTTCCAGTACCCTTTTTCAGTTGCCCTGTTGGTCCTTGCTCCATTACCAATTTTTTTGTCCAGCATGCTGAAGAAATACCATTCCAAATCTCTAGTCTTCAGATTTGACATACCTAAGAAAACCACCATTTTCAAATGAAAAATAATTTGGAATAAGGAAATATTAGAAAAACAAAATAAAAAATGTTAAAAATATGAGGTGTAAACATATAGTTGGTTAAATCATTGTGTGCATGAGCATATACATACACAGATATGGAGTTGTACATATTATAATGAGCAATCTTGACAGATAATAATAATGATGATGCTGTTAATTAATTTTGTTTTATGCAACTAAACTCGACTGCAGAGGAGGGAGAGTGAGATGACATGAAATTGGAAAACTACCGAGGCTCCATTTTGCCCTGGATTCAACTGACAAAGCAAATGGAGCACTGAACTTATTTCCCGTGTTCAATTCCAAATAAAATCACAATTCGTTGGATCACGGAGACATGAATAAAGGAGAGAAATATCATCATTTTTCTTTCATTTTCAATGATATTCAGGAAATAAGAAATCTGCTTTTCATTTTGGTAGCAGAGAATCAAAGGTAATCATTTTTCATTAGATATTTCTTCTCCTCTTTCCCTTTCCTCTACGGATTAACAATGCCCAAGTAGTTCCTTGTTATACAGCCTTGGACACAGGATTAATGAAATTTCCAAGTTAATCATAGGTTACAATGAAGCAAGGTAAATACATATTCAGTCCATAGTTAAGTGATTTAAATCTCAATTCCTAATACTTCACTATGATTTGGTAAATGAAGAGATTAAACAATGGCCGTGCCACACATTCTGGCAACAAAACCTTCTTACAAAAGTTGATCTACATTGAATTCCAAGAAGGAGATACAGGAAAGTCATTCTACACCAAAAGATTTTCTGTCAAACCTCCAATATGCATATTCTCTCACAAATGCACAAGACATACATTAAAAAAATAAAAAAAATAAAAAAAAAATAAATCCCATAATTCGATACAAAATATCATCCCGAAACAAATAAATAATAGT